TTGGTTTGATTTTGCCCCTTTAGTGCTTAAGATCCCCCTGTATTGCTTAAAGCCCTGGTCCTTGTGGCACCCCAGCAGGCTGAAGCATCCAGAGTAGATGCTCGTCTTCCTCCTGCCAAGGAACGCTGTTTTTCAGCAGGAGGCAGGTGGCTCGGGTTCCCAGGTATGAGGAGGCAATGTGCTGAGCTCCCAGGAAGAAGACACCCAGCAAGGAAACCATGTGCTTCTGTGGGATCAAACCCAACGGAAAACCACCTCCTCGAGCTGTACGACAGTCTCGTGCCGTTACTGTAACACCCAGACTGACACTGAGATGGGCAGGAACTACATCAGCACTAGGTGTGGGGAATGATGCACTGCACCGGGGCAGTGGCTTTCAGGATGTAATGGTGCCTTTGAGACTCAGCTCTGCAGGCTGCCCTTTGGGGTGTTTTAGCAGTGGGAAAAAGCTGCTTGAGGACATGGCCAGAAATGAATCATGGGGATTGCTCCTCTGCTGGAAGCATCATTTCTGCGTGGTAGATGCTGCCTTTGGCTGCCCAGATGGCTTCTGCTGGGGTTTCCACAATAGCCTTCCTAAAACTCCTTGAGGTGATACATCTCCTTAGTCAGAGGGTTGTCTGTGTGCTTTTGCCCACCAGATCAGCATCATGATGCAAACATCTTTGTGTTTTGGTGACAAAAGGCATGGGCTCCTTTGCATGGTGACCTGGCCCTGACTTCACTTTGCGTGGAGCCCTGCAGCACATTTCTACAGCCCCACCAGCTTCCCAACCCAGTTTTGGAGGAGCAAAGCTGCATCCCTGCATCTTGCCAGTCTCCCGATGCCCCGTGAGCAGGATGACTTCTTCTGCCTCTATTTTCTGCTGATTCAAACCACTCCTGTGGCATCAGGTACCTGGAAACCTTTGTTCTCCAAACAGCAAGAGGCATCCCATCTGCTTCCTTCCTGTGGTTACTTTAACCAGAGTGACTGAGCTTTACTGAAAACTCACCACAGCTGAGCTGATGCTGCCCTTTCCTCTGCTGGGCTCCTGCCTTGCGCTGGAGACACGGGCTCTTCCACATGGTGACTCTGAGAGATGCTTCTTGCTTACCTATGGAAGTAAAATGATGCAAAAGGGATGAAAATAGGTGCAGAGGGGTGAGGGGAGCGTGTGGACCAGGTCAGCCTGGGGTGAAGCTTTGAGCAGTGCAGGTTTTACTGAGAACAGAGATAACCTCTTGGGGCAAACTCAGCAATTGCACTGACCAGTTCCAGGCCTGACCAGTTCCAGACTAAGTGTGGGCAGAAACAGACTCAGAACTTGTCATGTTGATTTATATTAACTGATTATTTTCTGTTTCTAATGCAATGCAGAGTGAAAACCCAGCTTTAAATAGAGACCTGGAGTCTTGCTGTACACCTCAAAGAGCCATGGCAAAGAAAGGGGCTTGAAAGTGAAACAGGAGCATGACCAGGTAGCCCTGGGCTGTTGGTGTGAGCTGGAGCTTAGGAATGGGTCCAGTGGTTGAGTTCTGGGTTTATTACTACCAGAGCTATCCCCTGTGGATCAGGGAAGGGCGGTACAGGGATTAAAGCCCTGGTGATAGTCGATGACATGCAGGCACACAACCAGCTATTTCACTGGAAGTGCTGCTCTGCAAAGGGCGATGGCTGAAACTCTTGCTGGAGTTGGAGGCTGAGGGGACCCATGGAGTGCCCTGGGGCCAGGGTTTCCCTGCAGTGAGAAATCCCTAGCAGGTATTTTGTCACAAATTTGCATTTCGATGCGAGGACCTCAAGTCTTCTCGCTTCTGGGGTCGTTAATGCAGGGATTGGACTTGATCCTATAGGTCTTTTCCAGCCTAGTTGGTTCTATGGCTCAGCGAACCCTTGGTGGTCCTCCTTGCCTGGATCTACGCCTGCTGGGCTCAGCACCTATGCCCTAGTGCTGATTTATCATAGAATCCCAGACCGGTTTGGATTGAAGGGACCCCAAAGCTCCTCCAGCTCCAGCCCCAGCCACGGGCAGGGACCCCTTCCACTAGAGCAGCTTGCTCCAAGCCCCTGTGTCCAACCTGGCCTTGAACACTGCCAGGGATGGGGCAGCCACAGCTTCTCTGGGCACCCTGTGCCAGCGCCTCAGCACCCACAGTGACCAGAACAGAGGCTTCATTCATCAGGAGGTCTTTATTAGCAAAAATAAACGGTTTCTTTTCATACAGACAAATATGCAACAGTTCACGTGGTGACAGAAGCCGTGGCCAAGGCCCAGCATGAAGCCCCCAGGGAGGGAGCTGCTGATGCTCTTGCTGCAGCTCCAGGGCTGTCCTTGCTTCTCCTGAACCTATAAAGTCAAGGTATTTGGTGGAAAAATGACTACAGAGGTGGCTCAAAAGGAGCTTAATGTGTCCCGGTACCAGAGTTAAATGAAGTTGTGTACAGTTGGCTCCCATGCTATCTGATTGCTTCCAGTAGAAGGAGCGACCGACAGAGCAGCATTCCTGCTTGGAGCTGCCCTTGCTCTGGGATAACCAGTTCCTGCATGGGCAGGCTGCCAGCAGGAATGCCCTTCTGTCACCATAAATGTACAAATAATGTAAATGCAGTATAAATAGCCTCTCTTCCATGGTAGCTTCCAAAGCAACAACAAAACTGACAGTGTTTCGTCACATTGATGCCCTAATACTTCTAAATATTAGAAGCAAATGCCTCTGGGTTAAGGCATTTTCCCCTGGCTCAGTGTCCTGTAGCTCTCATTGGGGGCATGCAGGAGACTGGGGAAGGGGAGCCCTAAAATCAGATGTTCTTGAGGGCACTGAAGCTGCTCTTGCTTCAGCCACCCCCCTGAAGCCCTTGGCTGCTGCAGCTCCTCATTCATGGGCTTAGAAACAACATGAGCTCGAGTGTTGCATGCAGCTTTAAGCATTTGAATACAAATTACACAGGCCACCTTAAAATGGTGGTTAATGAAATACCCTTTACCTTCTAAAAGCAAAACCCCACAACAAACCAGCAAGTAAAACCCAATCAAAGACTGGAAAACAGTTAAGATTAACCTTTAGGAAGTGCAGAGGGGCTGACCCAGCAGCTCTGGAAGTCAGGCCTTAGCAATGGTTAAGTCAAGTTCTATTAGAACCAAACATTTCATTCTTATTACTGTATTTTTAGTTTCATCTGGACTAATCTATAGGCTGAAGTCTAGAGCAGGGGTCAACTGAGCTCTTGCTGTGGCATCATCACGTGCAGGTCCTCCTCTTCCTCCGCCTTGCTTTTCGTGCCCAGGATTAAAAACTGCCCTTGGTTATATTTCCAGTTATTTTGCTCTGAGCAAGGCTGTGGAATTTTGCATATTTGGAATATTTCAGTGCCTAATTCCACCAGCAGACCCAGTGACGTGGTTGTGCATAAACCCATCCGACTGCACAAATAAATAGAGGGATAGAATGTGATGAGATTGCTTATTTGCTTAACGTTAAACTTGTTCTGTTTCAGAGCTGGAATTGCTCCTGATCAAGGGACCTGCGCTCAGGGTAAGCTCTGCTCGTGATCTGCTCCCTAGAAGGACACTGCATTGGGTGTTTAGCTATGAATAAAATAGCACAATCCTAACCAGCATTAGAATAGTGAACAATAAATAGTATTTTTACAAGCTCTTTCTCCACAGGCCATTGTAAACACAAAACACTGAGGTATCGGAAGTAATAAATAGTAAATTCAGTTTTTAAACACTAAACTGGAAGTGAGTGACCTGAACCCTAAGAAATAACTTAATCTCTCGCGTGCTCGTGCAGCCTAAGGTGATTTCTGGCAAACCAGCAGGGTTTGGTGTGCAAGATGCAGACCCGCAGGCGTTTTCACTTCCTTCTCTTCATCATCAAGTACTCTTCGATGTAGTTGATGAAAATGTCAAACTCTCCCATAGCCTTGTAGACTCCGTTCTCATTCATCTGCAGGCGAAAGCCAAGTCTAAGTCTGGACGTGATGACAGAAGTGATGCGCGGTCGCGAGATGCAGTCCCCTTCCACTGACATCTCTGCCCAACCCCTCAGGGCAACCTGCCCTTCAAGCATCACTCTCAGGGTTTCCCTGCCTTAGGTTTTTGTATTACTGAGCACGTATTCTGTATAACTGTTCTCTGTTAGGCTGAAGCCGGCAGGAAACCCTGCTGCCTCGCTTGTGACACCAGCTCCTCCCAACCCAGCGTAGCCACGGGAGCGGGGACCTCACCTTCTCGAACGTCTCCTTGATGTGCTTTATGGTTTTGCTCCTCTTCTCGCACGTGAAGAATCTGTGCTGCAAAGGGACAAAAACAAGGGCTTCAACCACACGGGTTTCCTTGTTTCCTTCCCGGGCCGTGCAGCGCCGGCTCTCCCCTCCTCCTGCCCTCGTCACTGCCGCCCCACTGCTCTCCACCTTCCCCTGCCCCATGGCGCTCTCGGGGCAGTAACCGTGGCTGCTTTGCACCATGAACGGATGAAAGGAGCCCGGTGTGACCCAGCCTGGGACCCTGAGCCTTATCCCAGCCCCTTGCTTTAAGCCCTGCAGTGCTCTCTGCCCCTGGGCAGGGTTGTTCCCATCTGACTCAGCCTGTGGCATGTGATGGGCTTACAGTCACAGCAGGCACGGTTTCAGGATGCGTTGCTGCAGACCGATGATGCCCCGCACCCAGGTAAGGGACGGACCCTCCACCCCCCGTCCCCTTAGAGCCTCTGAATCACTGTTATTTAAGTGATGAAAGCTGGAGAGTAGGGGCTAGGAGAAACCTCATCCCTATGGGATCTGCCTGCTCCTCCACACCATCCTAACACTCGTTCTTTTGCTCCTGTAGAGACCCAGCACCTGCTCCCCATCCTGCTGCTGGTCCAAGACTGGCCCAGCCTCTCTGGACCATTGCTTTCACACCCCCCCCACCCCGTGATGCTGAGCCCCACTCACACAGCGCCTCATCGTCGCCTTCAGGCTCAGCAGCAGGTTGCCCAGGTCACCCATGCTCTGCTGGTGGTGCGTGCTGGTGCTCATGGCGCTGGGCAGGACCTCCTCCGTGTAGAACCGCATCATCTCCGACACCGACTGGCACCCGAAGCTCCCCTGGGAGGGAAGGAGGTAACTGCAGTGGGGCTGGCCACCAGCACTGGGGTATGTGGGTGGTGTCAGAGCACTTGCAGCACATTAGAACCACTCGCTGCAGCTGTGCTGAGCCACACATCAGCCCTGCTGCAGGCACATGTGTTAGTGCGTGCCTAGAGGACTGTCCTTATGTGACATTAGGAAATGTCCCAGTTTCCAATCTGCCTCCTTTGTTACAAAACACTGGCCAAAAGATGGAGAAGGATAAGGGGGTTAGATAAGAATTGTAATTCTTACCTTAAAATCATCCAGCAGTTCAGAGCTGAGCAGCTGGATGCTAAGTTCATCATCTTTTGATTGCTGTAGAAGGATGCAATGGGAACAGGAGTTACATTTCCAAGCGATCATTTTGCTTTGCATTCATGGCCTCACGGAAGCAAAGAGCAACCAACTCCGTAACACCAGCTACAGGTGTACTGGTGTGCGCCAGTTCCTTGGTCAATAATCATAGGACCATGGAATGGTTAGGAACTTCTTCCCAATAATCTTGCAGTGCAACTACTGCTAGGTCAGGACAGCGAGAGAATGACCTTACAAACATCAGTGCTGCTGATTTCATTAGTGTGAGGCTCCTCCTGCTGCTGCCAGTGCTGCAAACCCTCCTCAGCTGCAGAGGGTGTTGATGTAAGAGGCTGTTGCTGATGCAAACAGCTCTTCATATAGGTCCCAAGGTCATGGCAGCCCCTGGAAGCCAGGCACCTGCCCCAGCCTGGCTGCTCAGTGGGGCAGGAGGGTTTAATCCCCCTGGTTTTGTGATCTCTAGTTCTTAAGTCAATGGGGAAAAGGGGTCTGCAGAGGGTATTTGTTCTTGTGGTGCCTCTGCACCATCAGCTCAGGAAGACCAGAGAGCTGCAGAAGACCAGAGACCCAAAGCATCACCCTGCAGCACCAAGGTATTTACAAGCTTTCCTGAGAGGTGAGAAATGTTCCTTCCCAACACGTAGTGAAAGATTTACAGCAAGCTTTAAATCTAAAGTCTTGGCTGTGCTCATTTGGTGATAAATACAGGCTATGACACTATCTTGAGGTTTAACCTGGAGAATAGTCTTGTTTTATTGCTAAAGCACACTGAGCAGCTAAAATAGCAGCAATGATGTGACCAGCCATCTCTATCAGCATTGATGCCCTGAGTATATCTTGTGTTGCTTTCCCAGCAACCCTGAGGCTCCTGTCAGTCACCTTTCACAGGTACCAAAGCAAGTGCTAGTTATTGTAGTGTTTCTCCAGGCTTAAAATACCATGTTCAGGCTTTTGTGGTTCTTTCAAAGGAAAAGTCTGTAGCAAAAGATTTCCCTTTTCATCTAGCATTCTCTCCAGCAAGGCTGGACCTTGTTGCCTTGAAGAAGGGACTATTTCCTTCCTATTGATTCTGTCTGCAACATTTAGGGGGAAGTCTGGCTAGTGAGGTTGGCAAAGCTTCATTATGAAATCTCTTGAATTCATGGTAACTAAAACTAGGAAGAAAACCTTTGCATGTTGTCTCTCAGCAAGCAATGAAACCCAACTTCTGCTCACCCCCATCAGCCCATCGCGTAACACCCAACCAAACTTGTGCTAGGAAGAAAGCCGTCTTCCCCCTCACCCCACAGCACACAGCAGAGCAAGGAGGAGATGGGACTTGCAGGCTTCTACTCACAAAGTAATCCTTGATTTCCTCAAACTTCATCCTCAGCTCCTTCAGCTTTGCAGGCAGGAGCTCTGGGAAGTGCAGGCAGCTGGGCTCAGCCGGGGAGCTGCTGGTAGGCAGGGTGCAGGCAGCCAGGAGCAGCAAGGCCAGGGCTGAGGAGCAGGGCTGCATGGTGCAAGAGGAAAGCTTGGTCCAGCTCTCGGCTGAATTTCCCAGGAGGGGAATCGAAGCAGATCTGCAGCCTTCACCTTGATGGAGCCCCTAATTTATACTCTCAAAACATCTCTCCGTTTCCTCTCCCCATTTCCTGGCGAGCAATATTGGGGTTTTAAGTCATTCATTAAAACAAAATGTCACTTGGGTTTCCCGTCATCTTGGGTTTCCTGTTCTCTTGACCTCCCTCCTCTCCTCACACCCCATCAAATCTTTTTGTGCTTAGACTCTGCATTTTTTGTTTTTGTCATTGCTTGCTTCTTGTAAATTTAAATGTGGCTGAAGGGGAAAGCTTCAGAAATAATGCAGAGAGGACAAGGCGCTGTGTGAGGTTATTGCTGCTTCTCACACTGCATTTTTAGGTGAATGCCTTATTGTTAGGAGGGGATAAAGTGTTTCTGTTTTTAAACCTGCCCCTATCAAGCCTGCACTGAGGATCCCCAGCACCATGCATAGATCAGCAGCATTGCTTTTAGTGAACCGGCATCAATGCACTGCCTCCCCTTTTGGCATTCTAATGCTATGCTGCAAATTCATATAATATATATATATATACACATATAAAACAGATAATAGGATACTTAAATCTCAAGCTTTAATATGTGTTTTTTCCCAGTTAATGCCTATACCTGCTGAAGTCAATGAGTTCGCTCTGCCTTCAGCAGGCTCCAAGGCTGTGCTCCCAAACTTCCGCTGGTGTTGTGTCTGAATGCTGCTGGGATTAGGTCTTTGATGGGCTGGGATGCAGTGGGAAAGCCCAGGCTGGCTGGGATGTGGGATGTGCTGCTGCTCGTGTCCCTTAAGCTGCATGGCTGCATCCCTGGAGCAGGGTTTGAGCCACTATTGGTGTGCAGAGCTGAAGTGTATTAGCAGGTCATGGCTATTCATGTTTCTGCTTTAAAATCCTATTTCATTTCCTAGAAATAGACCCAAACCCTATCCAAGGAGCCCAGTGCTGGCTCTGCGAACTGGGTGTACTGTGTTCACTGGGACTTATTGTCCCAGCTCTGATAAAATTACCGTTTCAGAATGGAAGATAACTCTTCTGACGTCTCTCTTCCGCTTTCCCCCTTTCCTGCTCTCTTTGTATGTGTTGGTACGCCTCCCCCCTGCTTCCTTGTGATAAAGATTTCACTGGCAATCCCTTATCCATGAAAGTGAAAGGGGAGACGAATTTGGATTCTCTGAAATCAGGATTTTCTCTGAAAGCTCCCCTGCTACTTTGAAATAGCACATTCTGCCCAGCCTGCCTCAGGTCCATTCCTTTGGACAAATCAGTTCAATTCTCATCACTTTCCCTGCATTGAACTTCCTTGAGTTCAGTTTGCAATCCCCTGTGAAGCAATTTGTTGCAAAAAAACCAAAAGCTGGAAAATGCAAAGTCCTGTTTGTGACCATATATTTAGTCTTATTTAGATTGTATTTTTAGGGGAGGAAGTAAGGAATGTCTGGTGTGCGTATGCATGAGTAAGAGTAAAGGGAGTGAAACATCAGTAATCAAAGGGTTTGAGGAGGAGACAACATGGGATTTTGTGTTCTGATTTGTTTTCTTTTGTTGTTGATGTTGCCCCTTCTAGAGGAGCGGGGGAGGCCTGCTCCCAGTGAATCACTGCAGGCACACTTCGTCAGCTGAATCACAGCGTGTGTCATTTATTTGGTGACCCATTTTATTTCCCCTGCTCTAAATGCAGCAGTGCAGTTTCTCCCCCTACCACCAGCAGAAGCTGTGAGAAAGGAGAAGAGCAGGACCAGTCCATGGCTCAGACAAAAGTGGTTAACTTTAAACTCAACCTGTTTCCATTGGGAGAATCCCACCTTTCCCTGCTGGCTCCCACCCTGGGAGATTCTTTGCTTCTTTCATAGGCTCATGGAATGGTTTGGGTTGAAGGGACCTTAAAGCTCATCCAGCCCCAACCCCCTGGCTGTTTAGGTTTCATCAAAACTGATGTGGGAAGGCCAGTGGGTGAGCTGCTGTCAGGAGCAGTGCCCTGGAGTGGGTCTGCATGCAGCCTGGGGTAAAGCCGAGAGCTAAACCAGCTCCATAGCCCAGAGCTAAACCTGCTCCTTTCAGTGAAGGCTGCAGCCCCAGGCACGTCTCTGTAAGCCAGGTCCCCTGCAGCAAAGGGGTCCCTCTCAGCCCCGTCCACAGGCTCAGGTGCTGGTACCTTTGTGGGATCCAAGCACAGGGTCTTTGGCCACACGGGAATCTCGTCTGCAGGAGCCGGTGCAGCCACAGCACGGCACCCGGAGCCCTCCTTCCTCCCTTCCCGCCAAGGAGCTGAGCTCTCATTTCCAAACCTCTCCTATTTTGAGCAGCCTGTGGGTCTCCATGAAGTCATTTCAGCTTGCCACCCGGAGCGTGCAGAGCTGTTCTCACCCTTGTGCAATTCCCTCCTCCCTGTTTTGGAACCTGCTTTGGGTTTGGTTTTGGTTACGAGCGTAAGCCAGATGTGTCCATTCCACAAAGGAAACTCTGGCTTGCGCAGGGCCGATACTCTGCTCTGTTTACCTGGGTTTCCTTTGCCATGTCAGAGATCTTGACGGTGCAGTTTCGCTCTGACTCACTCGTGCTTACTGCTGTGGAAATGCATTGACTCCGCAGCGTTACGAAGCGGTTGCATGAATGAATAAAGCACCTTTTCCTAAAGAGTGTCCGGGGGATGTGGGTGTCGTTCTGAGCCCTTTAGGAAACAGCTTTCATGTTTGCCAAGCAGATCATTTCAGGAAGGAAAGTGTGTTACTCAAAAGCCATTCATGCACTTTTACCCCACCTCCCACGGACCTCTATGGGTGGTGTGGTTCTCAAGAAATACTCCTCAGGACAAGCGGAATTGCCTTTCTGCAGCAAAGCAGAGGCATTCAGGCAAGTGCTTTTCCCCCACAGCGTGCCATGTGGAAAGCTTCGTCCTGGATGTGGTCCTGCGCAGCCAGCGCTAGCTGGGCTTGGGCTCTGCAGGGGTCCTGGAGCAAGGTGGCATCTCATCCTTTGTGTTAAAGGGGCTGCCTGTGTGTGTAGCTTACTTAGAATCATAGAACAGTTTGGGCTGGAAGGGACCTTCAGATGTCATCTAGTCCAGCCCTCTCATGAGCAGGAAGATCATCAACTAGATCAGGTTGCCCAGAAACCCATCCAGCCTGGCCTTCCATGACTCCGGGGTTGTTTCTTATGGTTGTTAGCAACATGTGGGCAAGTTTGTACATTTTCTTCCTCTTCTTGGTCTCTGTCATTGCTTTCAGACAAAGGAACATTGCGTATTTTATGCGCTATTCTAGATACAGCCATAATGGTGCATTCCTTCCTTTCCTTTTCAGAAATTCCCCATTTCTCATCCCTCTGCAAGCAGTGACGTTTTGGGGAGGCAGGGGCGTGGTGGCTTTGAATTCACCTTGTGTGAAGAGCGGTTTTGAAGCAGTGGTGTTTGCCCTCTCGGCAGCCCCGTTGCCGATGACTAACAGTTCCTGATGGGCAAAGCATGCAGGGGACTGCTGCTTTTTGCTGGCAAGGCATGACGCTGGATTTCTCACTTCTGGAAAGCTGCTTTCTAGCACCCTTGCCAAGACTTACAATGTGACTCATCATCAGCCCCAACAGGTAAATCCCAAGTCACCCTTTGGAAATTTAACCCATGTCATTGATGTGCCTTGTAACATCTAAGTGTCCAGAAAGAGGTTATTGATCATGTGTAGAAGATGTTGTGGTGATCTCTGCTGTGACTTCCAATATGACATCGAGGGAGCCTTATGTAAGTTTTTAGCAGGTCCAGAACGTCTATTTAATCTAAATGAAGCTGGAATTGTCACCTGAAAGTATCGAGTAATGGAGACTGCCTCTCATGTGTTTGGGTGATTAATTTAACTGAGGAGTATTTGCACTCTTTTAATTGCATACCTTATTGCTCTCTATAGCTACTTGGAAGGAGGCTGTAGAGAGATGGGGATCAGTCTCTCCTCCCAAGTAACAAATGGTAGGACAAGAGAGAATGGCCTCCAATTGCAACAGGGAAAGTTTAGATTGGATATTAGGAACAATTTCATTGTGGAAAGGCTTGGCAAGGACTGGAATAGGCTGCCTGGGGAAGTGCTGGAGTCACCATACCTAGAAGTATTGAAAAGACATGTAGATGTGGTGCTTAAGGGTATGAGTTAGTGGTGGACTTGGCAGTTGGTTGGACTTGATGACTTTAAAGGTCTTTTCCAGCCCAAATGATGATGTGATTCCTGGATTCTAATGAAGCTTTCTCAGCTGAGTTTGTTTGCAGGTAAGTTAAAGAAGGTAAAAGTATTTAAAATCCCCTGAATATAATGGTCCATTTTGACTTACCCAAATACCTCTTCACTGCCTTTTGTTTTGAGCATTGTGAGCAACATAATTGCCTTGATCTCTTGAACAGATCATTTCACAAGTGCTGTTCTGAAGAGTTTCTAGTTTTGGTATTAGTGGCTTGTGTGGATCTCCTGGAGAATATTGTCTTTGTCATGATTTAGCATCAACTCTCTGACCAGTAATACAAACACAAGTTATGTATAACTAGGAATGGTCATAAGACAGAAAGTGGTTATCACGGTTTGAGAAATCAGATAGTGCAAACCAGCTGCTCAGAAGCGTAATGTGACTGTCAGGGTGACTTACAGAGGCAATTTCAGTCCTTGTCCCCAAAGCCAAGCACAGGCTGGCTCACTCCGTGGTGGAGTTTTGGGGTGGTTTTTCACATGGTGCTGAGGGGTTGGGAAATCCTGGGCTTTCTTTTCCACCCCACACCACGCAATGAAGCATGTGCCATGGCTGGCGATGCCACACGTGATGGCACGTGATGCTCTGAGGGATGCTGCAGCATCCCTGGTGCTGCCGGGGGGTTTCCCACATGCCCCACTGTGGCTTTCTGCTCCGAAATCGTTGGTGTGAAAAGACTGTGGCCCCTGGGGCTCCCCTGTGAACCAGTCTGTCCAGGATGAAGCCCAGGCTCCGAGCACTGTGTTACTCAACCAGAGAACATCTACTGATGGCTCTATTCAACTGGAACATTTTGGAGGCTCCTCTGATGAGCCCAAGCAAAGGGAACAAGTTTCATGATGCAGATTCCCAGAACAATCAGCTGCTGACACTGCCCTTCCAGAGAAAACCTGCAATAAAATAGAATTGCTAGAAAGTCTTTTTCTTTTTTTTCTTTTTTTTTTTTCCATGGAATTTGCTTATTTTAAGTTGAGGATTTTCTAATGAACAGCCTCAGCACAGCCAGTTGTGCCATGGGGAGGGGGAGGAAGAATGATCCGAGATTGGCCTCATGTAAGCAGCGATTCCATCAGATGTGCTTCTCAGCAGTTTCAGAGGGTTTTGTTCCCAACTTTGTACCTCCCTGTGCTCAGATCCCCCTTCTGTTTCATCTTCCCTTCTTTTATTTTACAGAGAGGGGGTGATACAACCTGGCTCTTTCTCCTGGAAAGCATCTGAAGTACCAAGACCCAAAATAATCGTGACCTTGGGTTATGAAAGCAGTAAAGTTCAGCAGATTGAAAAGCTATTGCTGAAATCACCTTGCTCCCAGGGGTACGACCTTATCCCCTCCAGTGTCTGCCCCATGTCTGCTCGGTGCTGGTCTCATTGTGCGGCCCCAGCAGTTTGCCTCGGAGTCCTCTCTTCATGGGAACCCGAGGAAGATTCAGCAATGGCATCGGGCACTTTTGTCCTGTTTATTGTTTATTGCTTTCCATGGAGGTTTTGAGGGCTGTAACTAGGAAGTGGAAGATAAATGTGAATGGTGGAAACCCCCTCTCACTGGAAATGGTGTTAAAAACAGAAGAAGAAAACAAGATCTGAAGCGAACTTCCTCTGCTGGCGGTCTCCTGCCTTTCGGGAAGGGAGGGATGGGCATTTCAGCGCCTGCTCCTCGGAAGGGGCTGGCAGCAAGGGTTTGCTGAAAATCTGAAGTCAAAGGTAAGAGCCACGCTCATGGAAGGAATCATGACTCCTAGAGTGGCTGGGGTTGAAGGGACCTTAAAGCTCATCCAGTTCCAAGCCCTTCCCATGGACACTTCGGTGTGTGTCCTCCAACTGCCTGGGCTGTGGTGGGAATGGGGATCTCCTGGGGTCAAGCTGGTTCTCGACGTGTTCATGACCATGTAATACCAAACAGAGTAGGAAATAGGGAAGCTGAGTGGCTGTGAGGGCAAGGGCCCTTTCTGCTGCCCTCACCCTCCCTATCCTTACCCTCACCCTTGCACTGGGGCCCTCTGGGTGCCTCCACATGGGTTCTCATTCATCCAGCACCGATGAAACCAGGTTCGGCCCCTCATGGCTGTGAAATTGAGACTGATTCAAGTCCTGAGCTAAGATGTGCTCAGGGCAACATTACCCCAGGCAAAACCGAAACCTGTGTTCAGGAGCTGGGTTACGTACAGAATCCACAGCTACTGTACTGATGTGCAAGTTTCAGTTTTGGTGAAAGCTAAATCTAAGCCAGCTCTGACTGGCTATTGGAGTGATTCATTTGCTCCCCAGATCATCCAAAACCTGAGCTGATAGCAGCAAGCACTCAGTTTCTCCTCTATTAGGCATCATTTATTGCCTGCACCATCAGCATGTTTCACCCCCTGGGCAAACCCAGGTGCTGAGGGGTTCAGATCTCTTGCTCAGATCCCAGGCCAAGCCCAGGTTTCTAACAAATGCCCTGTGTTTCTAGTTCTTCCAAAAATCAGGATGGGAGGAGCAGGAGAGCTGGGTGACAGGACCGTGCACTTCAGCAGACCCTGCTCTGGTGCCGGTGCCATGGTGTTGGTGCTGTTGACGGCAGATGGGATGGATGTTTCTCAGCGGATGAGATGGATGTTTCTCTCTCCTGGGCATTGCTGTGATTATCCAAATAACCCCACCATGCAGAGCTCTGTCTCAAGCTTTGGAGGAGGAATTAGGGATGCTTTGCTATTCCCATAAGAAGCAGCCCCTCTGAGCCTTAGGGACCTTGCTACCTGTGTGTTGTGTATGTTAAAGCCTTTGCTCTGCTACTGCTTAACTAGATGACTAACCCAGATCACTGTCCCCATGCTATCGTTATATTCTGTGTGATCATTCTTCCTTTTCAACCTCTATGGGCTGCAGCCGGTGCCTGCGAACTGGTGCCGTGTTCTGCGACTTCATTTGGATGCTCACAGAACTTCAAGTTTGGTTTTGTAACCATGAACAAGCCTTTTCCAAAGAAGAGCCCATCGGTGGGGAGCAGCACCCCAGCACTGTCCATACAAGCTGCTGTGAGTCAGGGGAGCATCCATGGGCTTCAGCTGGGGATCCCCAGCCTCACTGTGAAACATCCCTATCCTTGGAGTAAGCTATTTGCTTCAATTCTGGCTAATTCTGTTTTTACCTCCTCTTTGGTTCTCTGTCTCAGGTCTCTCAGAGGTTGCCCACTTTCCAAGGTGCAAACTTGCTCTGTCAACAGCAGAACCCCATGTCCAGAGGAGTTCAGGGACAAGTGAAGCATCACATTGGCAGGTAATGTGAATTCTGAGCGTGGTGTTAAATGCAAGAGAGAAAAAGGTTAAAAATCAGGTGCAGGCAAAGGGAACAAATCTCAGTTGCACAGGGGTTCTCGTGGGGCATTTGTCATACATACCAATGCAGGCATCTCCCTCGGAAGGACCTTTCAAGAGAGTTCCCTTTCTCCGTGCAGTCTTGGTCCCCCAGCACCCATTGCAGGCCAGCAAGGTGCTCCTCAGGCAGCCCCAAATCTGGGTTGTGCTTCAGTGTTTTCTATACTCCAGCATGACATTTGCTCAGAGAAGCCCAACTGCTAACATGTCAGATGGCCACATCAAAAGGGCTTCTGAAACCTCCTGGGAACTGAAAAAGCCTCATTCATTGAAGCCCGTGTTTAATCTCATCGGCAGATTTGAGTCTTTGAAACGTAAAGAATCCCAGCCTGGTTTGGGTTGAAGGGACCTCAAAGCTCCTCCAGCTCCAACCCCTGTGTCCAACAGGGAAGGGACCCCTTCCACTGGAGCAGCTTGCTCCAAGCCCCTGTGTCCAACCTGGCCTTGAGCACTGCCAGGGATGGGGCAGCCACAGCTTCTCTGGGCTCCCTGTGCCAGCGCCTCAGCACCCTCACAGGGAAGAGCTTCTGCCTCAGAGCTCATCTCAGTCTCCCCTCTGGCAGGTTAAAGCCATTCCCCTTGGCCTGTCCCTACAGGCTCTTGCCCAAAGCCCCTCTCCAGGTTTCTCTCCCAGGCAGTTGGAATCCAAACCTTTCACATAACTCCTGGGCTCTTGCAGTTTTGGGGGTGGAAACTTCCCAAGAGCACTTGGATTCTCCAGCCAGTTCCTGAATTGAGCAGTGATGCATTGGCCTCCTTTGGGCTGGTCCCTGGCATCACACAGAGCTCCTGGGTTTGAGCTGGACTTGCCCTTTTCTGAGCACATGCTGAAGCCCAAGGGCTGGACAGTTGAAGGAACACTATGAAGAGCTGCTCTTTAGCAGTGTTATCAAACTGTAAAGACCTGCCGTATGCGTTTCCCTTTGGGGAAGATGCCATTTATGATAACCAAAATATGAGCTCACATTTGATCAAGGGAAGCAAGAAGCTAACCTTCAAACCCCACTCCAGTGACTAAATGCATGGTTTTCTGCAGAAGAGATGTGTTGGTGTCTGAGATCCTCCACCACGCTTTTCCCTTTCCACAAAGGTGAGTCTTAGAGGGGGGAAAAACCCCAAAAGCACTATGCTTTGTACAGGTTTCTTTACCCTCTTTGGGTGAAATCCTGGCTTGGCAGCGCTGCCATTGGGTGAGTCACACAGATGAGTGTCACGTCTGCCTCAGCAAGGTGGTGGCTGAGACTTATTTTCTGTGGCATGGACCTGGCTTAGGACATGCACAGTGAGGATGGGGTGAGCCTGGGGCCACCCACTGCAAGGGGTGATGCTCCCTGGGGGTGGTGGCTCTGTCCTGTCCCCTTTGTGGTGAGACGTGCACCTGGGGACATGCTGGGATGGGCTGCAGGTAACAGGGGATGGCAGAATCAGACCCAGAGAGACAGTCATGGGTAATGCCCTACATCAGGATGGGGGACGTTCTCCCTCAGCCCTGGGAAAGGAGCTGCTCTGCCTGCAAGGGGATGTCCTAAAGCTGCTAAGAGCCCTGCACACCATGAGCCACTCCGGAAGAGATCCTGGAAAACAGAAGGTTTGGGCATCTCTTGAGCTGGGATGAATAAAAGCTGCATTTCCTTAAGCTGAGCCGGTGCTTTGCTCCCTAAAAGGCAGTATTGAGAGTCTGACTTTCAGAGCTGTTCGAGTGGTTATGGTTAGAAACGTGCCTGAGGAGAGGGCACACGATGTACCGCATCGATCGGGCGATAACTGCGCCGACTTCTCTGAGTCATTTGTTGAGTTTACTGAGAAAAACAATTCTTTTTTCTCACTTTTGGCAGCAGCGCTGCAGACAAAATGCAAAGAGCTGGGGCCAAGGGAGTGCAGGGCTGGGGAGCCTGCTCACTGCCTGTGGTTCCAACGGGGAAACCCAGCAGCTGCTCCCAGTCCTGCTCCAGCATCGTGGATTCACTTCCCATGCGTTTCTACGGTGCTGCCTGGCGTCATCTGGTGCTGGCCTGACTTTATTCATTTTGAATAGCCAAAAGCTTTTGGTTTATCCAGCTCCTGGTTTCTGTCAGTTATGAACTGTGCTAATGAAGGCAGGGAAGAGCAGTCAGGCTTTGGGAGGCTTTGCTTGCCAGTGCAGAAAGAATGACAACGGGTGACATCCATCTGGATGCTGGTGTGAATCCCTGGGGTTCAAGAAGACCATGCCATGTTCTCACTTATTCAAATGGGATTTGAAATGGGCTCTGAACTGGAGGTCCAGGTGACTGCTTGACAATTAACCTCTGACTTTGAAGGGGCTGAGGATGAGCACCACTGCTGCAGTCAGAGCACCCAGCTATGATTAGGGTAGGTCTGCCTGCCAGTTCACACCACTGCAAGTATAGGAGAAATGGCTCTAGTGCATAAACCCAAGTAGGTTTTTCTTCTGCGTGTGGACACAGTGTTATGGTCCTTTGGTGGGGGTTTTGGTGAGCCACAGGATTACCAGGAGGGATGTAAAATCCTACAAGCATTTTTGTTTCAGGTGGCTGAGCTGGTTGTTTTGGCAGATCTCTTCCTGAAGGGTGGCAGGAAGAGTTCCTGAGCTCAGGTGTTGTTGCTGGACTTTGTTATGAAGTCTCATTTTCTCCTTTATTGAAACTACTGCAGGCATTTCTGGCATTCACTCTTCTGTCATTTCAAATCTGAGATGCTGCTGTGAAAGATGAGTAGTGAAAAAGACTGCCAAACCAAGAATGGTCTGTAAAGCGTTATCACAACTTCTTCTAGCAGGAAAGTGCATTGAAATGCACTTATTGAAACCGGTACCTTATCACTCTGAAACACTTTACTGGAAGCCCGGTGTTAACGTGTGCCTGTGGTCAGTCCTTGACAGCCTGGCTCCTTCGCATCCCAACGGCTTGGCTATAGCCTATTTTTAAGGTTTTTTTTAGGATAAACTGAAAGCTTTTGGCTCTTTGAAATGAATAAAGTCAGGTCAGCACCCGGTGATGCTGAGCAGCGCTGCAGAAGCGCATGGGAAGTGAATCCATGATGCTGGAGCAGGGCTGGGAGCGGCTGCTGAGTTTCCCTGGTGTAACTGGCTGTCTGTGAGTGAGTGCCTCATCTCCTGCCATGGACTCCTCAGGAACCTCTGCTTTGTCAGTCACTTCAGCAAGCCGGTGGCCTGGTGCTTCCTGCTGCTGCTGAGGCATTGCTGCTACCCAGCAGCGCTGCACAGCGGGGTGATGCTACCCTTGGCAGGATCCAGAGCACTGTTCCTGGCAGCAGTCAGAGCTGCCAAGGGCTGGAGCAGTCCAAGAGGCAGCTCCAAGAGTGGTTTTCCAGGGTGCACCGGGGACGTTCCCTTTGGCCCCATGGAACTGCTAACCCCTCCTGTGCCTTTTGGAGTTGTATCACTGCAGATGTGAGCCCATGCTCGCCATGGGTTTGTCCAAATGATTTCTCAGTCAAGCTAATGATAAATGGGGGTCGTTCTGGCAGCTGGCTAACAACTCTCTGTGCTGCCTTTGCTTGTTATTCGGGGCTTAACTACTCTTAAAATCCCAAGGGAGGAGCCCTCTCGCATTGGCTGGAAGGTTTCCCAGGGAGAGGGCCACATCCCTGCTCCCTGCACACTCCCAACCCTGCAGTAACCAAAAGGCTTAATTATGCTGAGAGTCCCTCAGGGAGTCAGTTCCCATTTTGCCATCTGAGCTCGTCTGCATCATCACACTGCCATGGTTCAGAAATCCCTGTTTCTCCTTTTCCTCTTCCTTCCCAGAACACACGAGGAACAACTTGCTGTTTTATTGACTATTTCCATGGCAGGTAAGTGAAAGCCTCCCTTAGGCAGGCTGTTGGGAAAGCCAAGCCTGAATGATTCGCTTCCACTGGGACTTAGTCCAATGCATGCTGAGATCCCTGCTGATGCCATCCCATCTGCTCCACAAAGTGGGGGTTCTGGACCTCCCACAGGTCCAGCACTTGGGGTAATCAACTTCCATCATTGTCCATACACTTAAACCCCCAATTGAAACCTACCTGGATGGTTTTCCCCTGTGCTGCCATGGTTATTTCCTCCTTGCCCTGATGGCAAGGGTCATGCTATAGCCTCTGCTTTCAAATGGTCACTGACAGGATGGAGAAGCCAAGGGGTGCCCACCCAGGTACCATGCAGAGGTCTATAACAGAGCAAGGCTCTCGACCCTGCTAATATGACATTTCAGTCTCATTTCTGTATCACCCCAGCATCTTTCCTCCAGCAGCCTGGCAGTTTTTACCCCATGGCTGCTGCCTGCTGGCATTTGGCTGACCTGAGAGGCAGCTCAGTTACCAACAGGAAAAATCCCTAAAAGAGAAGAAATCCCTTCTTGTCATCTGCAATTTACATAATGAAGTAGGAACTCATTGCCTCTTCCCTGCTTTCCTCACCAAGGCTGGGTGTGCACCGGGAACCGGGGAACGCAGCGGTGCCGCTTCCTCTGCTCCAAGTGAAACTTTCGCTGCAATTCCAGGCAGCAGCTGGGAATGGGGGGAGGAAGGCAGAGATTGCCAGCCTGGGTTGCTGAGAATCCCTCTGACACCTCAGCATGGCCAAATGCAGGTTTGGACCTGCCTTTTGGCTCTTTGACAGTGTGAAGGCACAAGGGTGAGGGAGGCATGGTTGCTGCCTTTGGGGCAGTTTCAGCAGCACTATATGCAATCCTATGACTCGCCTGGGCATAAAATCTATTTGCCTACTTGTCCCCTGGTGATGGATATATGCTCAGCATTGAGTTTGGTTATCAATAAGTTACTCACCCAGCAAATCTCTATAGAACAGCCTCGGCCCACAGGCAGTGGCACATAGCAGACACTTGCATTGCAACAGCCACAGGCTCAGGCTCCTGCTCTCACTCAGAGAGAGGTGTTCTGCCATCTCCATGTCCCCTAAGTTCATCTAACCTCCCCTCCTGGGTACAGGTGGTTGAAGAAGCTTTTACACTGCTCATTCTTCTTTGTATGTTGAACTTTGCTATCACCAGAAACAACCAAACTGGCCTCAGAGCCAACAGCGTGGTGAACCAGCCTGGGTTTTGCTCCGTTAGTGCCACATTCATGTGACAGCACGCCTCAGCTGGCAGACCTGGATCCCTGGGGACAGTGTGGATCTGAAATGTTGATACAAGAGCATGCCTGGTCTGCTCAAGGGCCTTGTCTCTATCAGTTCTGCTCAGCAGGTAATGCTTGCAGCAGGGTAATCATAGGCTTTGCAGTCAAAGTCTTTGCTGGTGGGTAAAGCATTGCTGCTGCTCCTGGGCTGGTGGATGCTCACGGGTTTGAGTGAGGTTTCTGTCCTTCTGCAGGCTGATAACTTCGGACTGTGCATTATGATCACCGGTGGTCCTGAAAACCAAGGGACTTCTGGCTGTGTCACCCCAAAGCCCTGCCTCTCACATCCCCAGTCTCTGAATACCAGGGATGTGCTGATGGAGATGAGTGGCCATCCACCTGAGGAGCAAGCCTGAGGGTAGGGCTCCCTGTACCTGACAGGTGAAGGCCCCATGTGCCAGGACAGTGATGGAGAAAGGTCTTTCTTGCCAACTTTCTGAATCATGCTATTTTTACTAGTGCACCATGTGTCCTATTGCCAGGAGCCCTGGGCTGTTTGGACCACTGGCATCCCCAGGGAGAGGTTGCTGCTCAGCTTCCTGCATCCCAACGCCTCTGTGATGAGCTGGGGATGGCTCCGTTCCAGGAGGGGTTTGGCAATGGGGTTTATGCTGGGGGGAGGACCCAAGCTTGGCTTTTTGGGAATGTAACCCCCGTGATGGTCCCTCCTTTTGTCTGAGTCCTTCTTCCCAAACGGAAGATGACACGACAATGCCAAGTATTTCCCGCCTCCGTAGGTGACGGAAGCACCTATGGGAGAGGGAGCTGGTCCCTTTCACTAGCTCATTAATTCAGTAAATTACAAAGGGAAATACATGCTGGGAAAAGCAAGGAAAATTCCAAAAGTCAATCCAGGAGTTGTTTCCTCCTGATACCGGGATAAAACCGCGTTCTTCGGAGATCTTCAGGTCAGAATCCAGCGAGACGTGTGAACTACATCATAGAACCAGGTAAAACACTCTATGTCTTTATGCATATTCCCTCTTATTCCTGTAATGTGTCTCTAAAAGGGTTTTGTTTTTCATTAATAACCTTAATTTTCAGTGCTAACAACTTTCATTTGAAGTATGGTATTTTTAAGGGGAAGCATTTCTTTTGGGATCAGACTTTGGGATCTGCTGCTCTCAGTTGCAGTTACCTCCTGCTGCAGTAATGCAATTTATCTGTATTTACTTTTATGATTAGTTTCCTTTTAATAACTTTCTATTTACATGCAATATTTAACTGCTTTTTTCTTCTTTTGAAACCTTCTGTTTAATACTTGGGGTTGGTTGATTTTCCCTCTTGCACATGGGAGATAAAAAAGCAATGGGTAGGATATACCAGTCAGTGTGTGGGGGGTTAATACATGTGTGCATGTACAAGTGCTATATAAAATATGTGCATTTTCACAAGCATCACACTTGTGTTATTTAGGGAAGATAACGAGGCAGTATTGTCTTCCTTGAGCAGGTCTGTGCTGGCATCCTGCAGCAGCATGAAGGGATCCCACTTGTTCCTCTGCCTCTTCTCCGTGTCGTGCTGGTTGAATCTGATGCCGACAGCTGGGAACAGCATCTTCCACTTCGGACGCTGCAGGGTTTCAATGAGCACGGCTGAGATCAGGCTTGGCTTCACTGCAATTAAAGCCAACATTGTAAGTAATGCCCCATACTCTTATAGGGCTGGGGAAGCTCTTTAGTCGGTGGCTCCCGAAGCCCCTCTGGAGCCGGCATGTCCATCGCCATCTCTGTCTTGTCCCATGCAGCAAGCCAGAGACCCCATCAGGACCCTGAGCATTTTGTCCCACCCGCACTCTCTGCACAAGGTTAAGGTAGGTGTCCTTATCATGTCTCCAGTTCTTCTCTGAATGATGCTGGCCAGCTAGCATCCTGATACCGGTGATGAGGTGAAGCTCAGGGCTTCTGAGGAAGTTGTTCAACACCGTGACTACTTCTAAGTTTCTACGAAACACAGACACCAGGCAGGTCAGGGAGGATAAAGTGATGTGGATCACGTATGTGAAAGGAGGTGGGTGTCCCACTGCCAGTTCCTGCTCCGGGGCTTTCACCTTGACTGTCTTTCCAGGAACGGTGGGCAGAGATTTTCTTCTTGTTGTTGCATGTGATGCTCCAGTTACAGAAGCCTTCGCTGCACTCCGCGCTGCCTCGATCAGCAGAAGCATAGCAAAGTGAATCAGGGTTTGGCTGGAAAGCTATTCTAGAAGCCAGAAGTGGGTGAATGTGATCTTGGGAGGTGAAATATATTATAACTAAGTATTGTTCAGCTCTCTTACACTCTAAAGTTCTAGACATGGGCCACTGCTTCAGGTCTCAGGCTCTTACACCTAGTTACAAAGAATGGTTTGGGTTGGAAGGGACCTTAGAGATCATCCAGTTCCAAGCCCCTGCCACGGGCAGGGAAATCAGCTATTTATTTTGTTGACTCAATGAGGCTTGCTGAGGATGGAACTGCTGCAGAAGCAGTCTGAAATAATTCCCTATGTATATAACCGGTTTACATCAAGCACCACTGAGAAAAGCTTTATCTGAATCAAAACATAACCCCTGTGCTCAGCTGCCATGCTTGATGTTAGAGACGAGATGAGGACAGAAAAGTGGGTCATTATCTGTGTCTAGCACTTTGGAAGACCTTTTATAAATGGATTTTATTCCTTAAGTCTTCAGATAGGTGCTGCATCACCCATCACCTCTTCAACTTCTACGTGGACAAAGTCTTCAAGCACTGCAAGACCGAGGATTCATACATCAACCGAAAGATCAGCAGCATAGCCAACTCCTTCCTCAGCATGAAGAGGACGCTCAGGCAGTGTGTAAGTCTTGGGTATTGCACCAGTTTAGTTTCCCCTCCTCGTACTTGGTGTATAAATAAACCTAAACATAAAGATGCAGCCTATTTATAAAGATGGTTTTAACAAGGACACAAAGCAGCATGATGTGAGGAGCGCATCTGCTCGCTGGGAAGTTTTTATACTTGCCCACTCATCAGCAAACTCCCACGTTAGTTCTCAAGAACAATATTTATCCTGTCCCTCTGCCTGTTGAAGTAAACTCTGTTCTTTGCTGAAGTCTGATTTAAGGATCTTTTCCACGGTTTAACAAGGTGTCAGGCTGCGATTTCCAGCTTATTTCTTATTTGTTTGCAATTAACCCCTCAAATAAATTAATTCTCTGTTATTTTTTTAGCATGAGCAAAACAAATGCATGTGTGGGGAGGAATCCACTGAGAAATTTAAGCAAATACTTGCAAATTATGAAGGGGTAAGTTGGTGACTAAGGCTTATAATTGGTAATTCAATTCAGATTCTTCTTACAATGGGTTGTACTCATCTTTGCTTACAACTGGATCCTTTATATCCTTTCAGCTAAATGTCACATCTGCAGCAATGAAATCCCTGGGTGAGCTGGACATCCTGCTAGATTGGATGGAGAACTCTCAGAGAGCAGAAGGTGTTAACAGCCCACCAGAGGCTGGGGCTAAGGAAGCTGCTGGCACGTTGCACACACCAGTGGTGCGCAGGAAGACAATGTGCTGTACCACTGCAGAATCCCACTGACTGCAGCTGTGTTCAGTCAGACACTGGGTGTTTTACCAACAGGGTATGTAGGTGAATGCATCAGCAGAACCTTGCATGAAGGTGGAAATATCAAGGTTGATCAAATGAGCACAGCACTCACGTAGATGCCTTCTATCAAAGGATGCTCTCCAAGGAAGATCTCATAGGGTTTCTCTTGCTGCAGACATAAACTATGATCATTTCATAAAAATACTGCTTAAATTATCATTTTTTTTTATAGAGAATGTATATTAATGAGTGCTGGAATGACTCTGGTGTAGTCAATGCTGCAGAGCAGTGCCCATATATCTGGGCTCAGTCTTATGTGGCTGCTGCTGCTGTGTGATCTGGCTGAAATGAGGTTCAGAGGGTGAGAAATGCTCCCAAGAACAGGTCCTAGCAGGTATGTCAGGCCTTAGAAATCTGTGTTTCCTTTTGAGATGATATTTTGTGCCTTATCAGTACAGGAACAGTTCCTACACGAGATACGTGGTTGCTGAATAGAAAAAGGGTCATGCGTGTACTGTGTAATTTACTGACAGTAGTAAGTTGTGTGGAAATCTGTTACAATTACTGTAAATAAACCCCACCTGAAACCGTGATGAGTCTGTCCAGATTCTGAGGAATTACATGTTTCTTGTTGATGAAACTTGCTGAATTCACTGGGGTGCCCTTTCATAGCAGATACTGTCACTCCTGGTCATGCAATCATCCCAGAGGTGATGCATCCTTCCTGGCATGCCAGAGACAGCAAAGTTCAAACCTGAGCGATACTAAATCACCCTTCCTTGTCCCTTAGACCACTTTTATTGTGCATTATGGTTAGTTTTGGTCTGTTTCCACACATCTGGGCCTTTTTCAGGCACCACAGACTGCACACACATTGCTGGTACCCACTGGTTCTGCATGCTCTAAATCCCTTTTCTAATGTGTTTTCGCACAAGATGTTAATATATAAATACATATTGCTGTAGTATCTGCAAATTACAGAGGCCCAATGCTTTAGGAAATGAATGAAGAGCACCCAAGTCCTCTCTCCATGCAGCCAGGAGGTGTTATGCACACTTGGTGTGAGGGCCCAGGTAAATGCAACCAGTGCAAACGCTGGTAACACCCTAGTCCTAACATTTCAAGTGATAAAGTCTTGCTGCTACATTCATGAGACATAAGGCTTGAGTAAGACTAGAGGATAGGCTTTGTTATTATGGAATAAAGTCTTCCTGTCCTCACTGAGAACCTAGGTACTGCTGTGGTTTCATCCCCACCACAGACCTCTGGCAGCAACCCGGCATTGCCAGAGCCTTGTGTCAGCAGGGGGGCACTGCACCTTTCCTGGGGCACCAACAGAATGAAGAGCTGCAGAGGAGGAGGAGGAGGCTCCTCGTCCCTTCCCTAAAAGCCTCGGTGATAACCTGGCAGTGTGAGCTCACCAACATTTGCCTACAGCACATCTACATGTGCTTCACCCTGAGCGGGATTTGGTGATTCACTGCAAGGGAAAGATCTCCTTCATTGCTCACGATCCTTCCTCAAATATTTGCTTTTGCCAAAGGAAAGCCTTTCGGCTCTTGGATTCTCGTAATTTGCTTTCTCATGGAATTCTGCAGCATGGCTTTTGCTTATCCTGGTGCTAGGGCATGAATGGGTGAACACATCCCTCCATGCTCTATCAGTGTTCATGATACCATCACCCCGAAATCAGCCATTGACGAATGACAGGTATCTTCAACATACCAGGATTTTGTGTTAAAGAAAAGCCTTTAGGAACGAAGCAGTGATGCAGTGAGGTACCACAGCTTGTCACTGACCAAAGGCAATCAGCTGGTGAACTGTCTGGTGAAGGAGATGGGGCTACTTGGGGACGTCCTTGTGAACCTTTCCATGGATCATGGCGGGCTCTGGGTCACAGACTGAGTGAGAAGCGTGGGGTTTATTCCATCCCCTCAGCTTAATCTATCACAGGGATTATTGATCGTATTTCATTGATGATTTCCTGCACAGGGGGTTGCATGCCTCGGTCCATGCACGCTTCACTGGCTCAGCCCCTGGCGTTCCACTCATCCCTATGGCTCCCAGCACAGTGCAGGAGTGGAGCTGAGGGAAGGATGCCGGCGGGCAGGCTGAAGAGGAAACGGGTTTCAAAGGGAGAGCAAAAGGGGTTTTCTCCTGCAGCTTTATGACAGCTTCCCCCTGGGGACACTTCCCAAGTGCACACCTTGCTTATTGCACCAGAATCATTCATTCGTTTCCAGCAACTCCAGGCGGGTGCAGACCTGTCCTGGCCACTCCACAGCTTTTCCAATATCCAGCCCCCTTCCCACCATCCTGCATGAGATACAGCCCGGGAGATGAGGGAATGAGCTATAGCCTGACAGCCAGGCCCAGCTGGATGGGGCTTGGAGCAAGCTGCTCTAGTGGAAGCTGTCCCTGCCCATGGCGAGGGCTGGAACTGGATGAGCTTTAAGGTCCCTTCAACCCGAACCAGGCTGGGATTCTGTATTTGAGGTCCTAGCCTTGCTATCAGTAAGGTGATGACTGTTGTAATGTGGATGTGAAAGCAGCCCTGTAAACACAAATCCCACTGGAGCACTACCCAGTGCTTATAGTGGGAGGTCCATGATAGAGTTTATCCTTAATGAAAACTCAGCATCTGCAGACTGACACAACCAACCATTGCCTAGCACCTTGCTGAGCTACCAACTCCATCATTACTGCTACCTACATTACTTTATCTGCAGGGTATTTATTTCCATTAAGTGTAGGATTCTTCTACCATCCCATGTCGTTTGCAACACCAGATGTGATGCTTTAATGCTGCAGTAAAAGGAGGGGAAAGGCCTCCTCCACCTCTCCCAATTGCACCATTACTGCAGTTCGGGTGTGCTCTCCCCGTGCCCTCCCATGGACTGCATGTCCCCTGGTCTGCTGAAAGCTCGTGGCATTCTTTATTGCTTGTGTCCAAAAGCACTTCAGACCATGTCTGGTCTGCAGGTACTGCCCTCTGGGTGAGAAAGCTTAGAGGAATCAAGTGGGAAACGTGGTTCTCGAGGGTTTTCAGCTGCCTTTGAGAGAAAAGGAGAAGGAAAATAAAGCAGAAGCTGAATTTAAGCAATAAAAAAGATCAAGCTATAGCAAACGGTGGGAGCAAGGCCCAGGGCTGCTTGCTGGTGTCTTGCTCTGGTCCTCCAGGTGGAGCTGGTCCCAGTCGCTGCCGCCTTTTGGTCCCTCACATTCAGATCTGGGGGGACACATCTGGGGCAGCAGTGTCGCCCCCCGAGCTGCCCTGCACGATGCTGCTGGAGGTGAGGAGGAACGCGGAGTAGGCAAGGTCAGCATCCTCCTTGGAGCTCTATGGGAAGGACAGGAGGACACTGTGAGGTGGCTGCAGAGCCGCAGCCGCACGTGGTGGGGGAAAGGGCAGGGTTTTGGGGCTGAGAGCTTCTCAGGGTGATACAGGCAGACTGTGCACCAATGTGAAAGCATCCTGCCTTTGCTCAGCCACGGGAAGACCCCAAACGTTGCAGGTTTGGGGCTCTGTGTCATGCCTGTCGCTGCATGATGGCACCCAGCTCACCAGTCCTAAAGCTGCTGGGTTTTACTGGTTTCCTGATAGCTTCCTGTTTCTCCAGTTCAGCTCTTGGCACTTAAACCAAGACTCCACGCTGCCTTTGGTTAGGGACTTGGAACAAGAAGGGCTTGCATCTGGCACCCTTCATGGTGCCACGCACTCATGATCTAACCCAAGGGGCCACAGGAGCAGGTCAAATGGGGGAGACCTCCTTACCTACCTCTGTGCCCTGGACCACTGCCTGAGGAGGGGAAGGCTCTGGTTCATCCAAGTACTTCATATTTACAATAACAAACCCAGCCCCAACCTTCCTGATGCTCCCTGGAGCTGACTGCGTGTGCTGGCTGAAGGAAGGTGGCTGCTGTTACTGTCTCTGCTAAAACACGGGATCAGGAAAGGGTTAAGGTCCCCCTCAGAGGCTGATCTGCATCAGGTGCTGGATGCAGGTTACTTGGGAGCATCTGGGTATAAATAAGGCCCCTGGGAGGGAGCAGCTCCTTGGGCAGGGGCTGAAGGGCTGTGCTGGTGTCTCCCAGGTCAGTGGGCTCTCTCCTGTCTCCTCTTACCCTTTTTGCCTTCTTTGTCTCGGCAGCACTTTCTGGGGTGGCCGCGGTGGTGCCGAACTCTGCAGGGAGAGAAAGGGAGGTGCAGGGGCCGTCAGTGGCTGGTTTTGTGGCTTTCGTAGGGTCCTTCTGCAACCCCTGGGGCTGGAGAGCATCCCATCGGTCAGCACCTACCGTCCCCTCCTATCCGAGTCTCCTGGGTCTCTTTCACACAGGCGTTATTGCTTGCACCATAGTCCTTCACGCTCTCGAAATCTGACATGCTGATGTTTGTCCTGTAGCTCCCAACGGACACCAGCTCTGTTAAGAGGAAGGAGATAAGTACCCTGTGGGCTTGTTCAGGATCTGTGCAAGTGCACCAGCATCCCAACAGCCTCTGTGCAAGGAGACGCTGTGCCTGGTCTCTGCCTCAGCCCAGGCACCGTTTGTGATGGGGATGCATGGAGGGGAAAAATGGGGTCCTTTGCCTTGTCTGCATGGGGGTTACAAGGGGAGCAGCTCAGCCCAGCCCAGCACACACAAGTTATCACCTTCATCTTAGTATTAACATAACCTTAATGTGAGGTTTCGAGAGACTGCAGGAAGCAGAGCAGGGACTCACCAGATCTCTTCATCTGTCTGTATTTAAACACAGCAAAAGCTGTCGCAGCGATGAGGAGCACAGCACCAACAGGGGCCAGGACTAACAGAAGCATATTGGGGCCACTTTGATTAGGGCTGGAATGGAAGGAAAGATAAATAACTAATCTGTGGAATACATTGCTGAATTATTCAAGATTGAGTAACCTTTCTGAATGTCCAGCAGTCGAAACCCCCTACAACGTGGTAAATCTGAGTGAGCAGGATGCGATTTGACTGATAAACTGGATCCTAACACATAGAATCAACTGGTAACCAAATAAACCTGCAGGACAGAGGTTGTGCCAACCCCCCCATCAGCAGCTTGGTTATAAACGTGAAGGAAAACTCTGATCTTGACAGAAGTATTTTCGATGAGTTTTGCTGTACCTGGGATCTCCAACCATTCCTTCTGGGGCTGTATTTGCTTGAGCTAGAGGTGAGTTCCAAGTCATCTTGCCCTTTGTTGTAACTAGTATTTGTTTTCCTCTGATGTTTGAAGTTCTTTGAGGGCAAGATTTTTTGTGTGCTCAAATGTTGCTCAAGCATGCAGCGTACAAACACAGCACCAAAAGGGGGTTAATAGAAGGCTATGCATTAATATTAGTATAAGAAATGACAGGCTTGGAGAAAACTAACCTTTCAGAGGCAGCACTGTTGGCTCTTCCTTGGGGAGTGAAATCACCCTCAGGAGCGCTGGGGACATCAGCATCCAGGGGCTCCAGGCTGCGGCCAGCACTGCCTCCTGTATCATCCAGGGAAGCAGGGCTGTTAATGGCACGAGCAGCAGCACGGAAAGGGGGACACAAGCTCGTTGGGTGTATTTGGTGGATGTGGCACTG